GGACTGCCCAGACCCGCATGGCGGGAAACGCCATGTCAGTGCCATGCATTGGTGCTGTAATCATGTGCGCGGCGCTCGGGCTGGAGAAGATTCCCCCAAAATGACCCGCCATCATTTCTCAGCACCGATTCCGATGCAAGTGCATCTAGGCTTGACAGATGTGTAACAAATTAGAAATTCAGAACTTAGCAATTCGATGGTGTTGAAGCCAGTCAGGAAGCTTGAAAATGGAATTGAATCTTTGAATCTTTGACCTGTCTGTATAGAGTCTCTACCGAGTCTGCACCAGTCATCACATTTTGGTGTCCATCAGCCTACAGAAGAAACTTGTACGGTAGTGGTTAGCCAGCTAGATCTGTGAGTTGGGACTCATGCACCTGCCGCTCTCGATTTCAAAGGGGAAGCTGTTTTTTTGGATGCATAAGAAGAACATAGACGAACCTGTATGCTTGGAAGCAAGATCAAGAGAACTACAAGATTTATACTTTGTCAAGCAAGACCCTCAAATACAGCTGTCTACCACCACAACATAATCCACCAAACAAACACATCTGTATGTTTCTCTTTCATGAACTTTTACTTGGTCACAGGTCAAGCTTGACCTCCAGCCGCCATGTCAAAGCGGCCTGCGCCTGACAAGGGAGGCAGTGCGAAGGTTGCACGACCTGTCAAGCCGTGGTGCGATGAGTTCATGACGAAAGCGTTGGGGAACCTTGCACTGGGATTGATACGACAAAAGTTTTTTGCGCAATAACATTCACCCAGGGCCCAATAAATCAGAGCGCCATTCAATAGTTGAGATAGGATGGGGTGAACGAAAGGTAGCAAATCTTTTACATCCGCATCATCGCTGGTCTTGCAGTACACGAGTCAAAGCTCTGTTCGAACTCCTGTTCACTCCTTGATTGTGACCCAAACAGCGACTGCGCAGGGGTCTTTGGTCCAGGGGGGCCCCTTGTCAAACAGAATTCATCCTTACAGGACCAAACCCAATGCATAATCCCAACTCCAGATTGTAAAGAAACTTTTAAGTTAAAGCAAGGAGAACTCAGTTAGCTGAAGCTACTGTTCACTACTTGCCCCTAGGACTTTCGATGTGGCTCAAGGGCAGCACCCCGTGAAGTGGCTGGTCGAGACGCTTTCTGTGGGAGAAGGCATCTTGGAAGCTTTGTGGACGTGGCTTGATGAAGTGCTTCCTGGAGGGATTGGGAAGCCCATACCGAACCCAGCAGCTTCTGGGCAAGAAATGGGCCAACAAATACTGTTAAAAGAAAACACATTATGTTCAAGTGAGCAACGACTACAGGCCAGGCATAATTAGAAATGAAACCAAGATCCAGTGCTGGGCCCCTTTGTGTTCTTGGTTTCACAGTTGAACTGCCCTATCAACAGCCCTATCCATCTTGCCACCGCCAACACACATTCCAAACAAAGAGTAAGCTCAGCTGAGGATCTTGATCCAGACAAGCTCAGCGAAGTGCCGCTCACTTCAGTGTGGTATGAACTTCCAACGGATGGGGTCCCCTTCTTCCCAGCATGGCGGGACTTGGCTCTGGATATCTATTGGGCAGGCTATGAACGGCTCAGGGAACCCTTGGAATGCAAAAGCCGGGATGCAGCCAGCCATGGGAAGCTCCAGTGCACTAAGGGGCTGGGCCGCCTGTCAGTGATCTACTTTGGTACCCTCTACACGTTCCTGAACAAAGATGAGCTGACTGATTCCCACAAGGATGACTTTTCCAGGCAGGTCGTAGATCAAAACAATCCTTTTGTTACGATCCAGAACATGGGAGGAAAACTCATTCTGAAGTGCTGCAGTGATCATTTGCTACCTTCTTCAGAGATATTCTGCCAGATAATATGCTGTGTTCCGCAGACATTCTAACATGTTATGCAAGGCTAACTGTTGAGCAATATTCTGCAAGCCTACATCTCAAGATTCAATGCGAGAGTAGAAACCATCAATTTTAGATCATCTGCGTCGTGAATTTGCAACCAAACTTGGCAAATCCCTAGGGTGATCCTTTGGACCAAACAGTCGTCCCCTGGGATATTCTGCCGGATCCCAATTCAATAATTTAGGCTTGCAGAACATGATTCTGGGAGCGCAGAACATTGTTCCGGGTTCACAGAACATGCCATGATATCTTCATTATATCTTCTGGGTACTGGGGCTATTGCTTTTCAGATCGCATAATATCTCCAGGGGTGAGGGTTCTGGCCTACACGTCGTCCCCGGGGTGGGGTTGATTCCAAGTCAAATTTCGTGACGCAGAATATCTTTCTAAGGATGAACCTTTCGGTGAGAGGGTTGTCCCTGCAGAAGATTCCAATCCGCATGTTATCAAAAAGGTCGTCCCCGCAGAAGATTCCAATCCGCATGTTATCAAAAAGGTCGTCCCCGCAGAAGATTCCAACCCGCATGTTATCAAACCCACAATCATATGTTGTCAATCCCTGACTTGAGCCCAGCCTGCTTGCGAGGTGGCTGCAGACAGTCACCACCTTGGCGTGCAAGATTGGGAAGGAGCGTGAAGACTCCCACTACGTATGGAAACGGATCCAAGTTTCCGAGCAGCAGGCCCAACGAGAGCGCAAGAACTTGATTCAAAAGGCGCTCATTTTCAACCAGCGAGCCCATGAGATCATTGCAAAGGAGAGGGTCTGACCGGGAAGGTGTGCCAACCAATGGGCCTCAATCGCAAAACAAATAGGTTCCTTCCTTCCTGTTGATTCTTGGGGTGTCATCAGACTTTTTCATCTGTCTTCAGGAGCCTGCTCGCTATCCCGGCAGCGACGGATTCAAGGAAGCGTTCTTGCGTGGTGTTTCGGAATATAACAGTTACGGCCTGGCTGCATCAAATGTGAAGTACCAAGTCGGACCTGATGTGGCAATCCAACTGTTCGGTTTCAAGGTTACTTGACAAAGTGCTTTGATAAATTTTAGATTTGATTGGGGTCTGTTGGGGTGGAGCATTGTCACTGGGTTTAGCAAATCATGTATGCCCTGTTGTGGCATTGCCTTTCCCTTAAGGTTGGAGTGGATGACCGCGTGTGGGAGCGCATCAGTTGTCACCTCCACCAATTCCGGTGGGAGCAATCAGGTTTGGGGTTGGAAAAAACGAGCTTGCCAGCTTAGCTGATACCAAAAGCCAGGAAAACCATCAAAATGTTTCAAGCATGTTTTGACGCCTCTATTTCAACCCTGCCAGCCTATTCGAAAGAGCTACTGTTGGATCCACGGTGGCTGCTTGGGGGAAGCTTGAAGATCAGTTCCACACGGTGGTATGACATTCTCACCATGAACCGCTTCAAACAAATGCTCTTCATGGATCGTGGCCCAGATGGACAAGTCAGGTGTTGAGTTCTAGAGGACTGGCAGTAACTAGCCCTCTTTTTTACCTCTAGACTCTAAGAATGTGTTTTCATCAACTCGAGCCGTTTCCTGTCAAGGTATACTTCTTCTCCATAGCATCAGTGTTCGGAGAGCAGGATCCAGGACTCTGGTCCGACTCAACCAGGGGGAGTGGTTGGCAGAGGCAGATGTGTGCTGCGTTCTGGGTTGGCTGCACCTAGTCAGTGCTTAGACAAGATGTTCACTTCTGTTTGGGGGGCTCTATGGGATGGACAAGTGCCATCACGGTTGCTTTATAACTGTTAAATTAGTTATTCAATTTTTGCAGGTAACCAATTATACTCTCTCCGGGTGATTGCGAACAAAAAAGGATTGAAGAGATGGCCAATGCCACCTGCGACGACGGCACTTGCAAGTTTGAGCGGGACACTCTGGAGTCTGTCCGGACCCGCTGCATCGAGGGGCATCTAGGCATAACAAACTGTGCTCCAGCTAGTTTACTGGTTCCCCCTAATGATAGGACCAGGTGAATCTTGTTTGGTTTGGGACCTCGTTTGGTTTCATGTGGCGAATCTACCGCTTCAGGGACTTTCACTCTGAAATGAAGGAGGTTCTTGACATGAAGGACCCGACATATTCACCTTCTTTTGCAGCAGCCTGGAAAGAGCATCTCAAAGCAGCCACCCCGGAAGATGCAGACCCTTGTACAGTTTTAACATGATTTGCTCCAAACATGGTTTCTTGAATCTGAATTGATTAGCTTTTGCTTGGGATTGATTTTGTCTGAGCAACCACACAAGGAAGATGCCTTCACAAAAGTGGACCACCAGTTAGACAACTTGTCTCAAGATGCAAGAATCTTGGCGGCCTAGCATGGCCCTTCCCAAACCATTGTTTCTCCGAATCCGCCAAGCCACTGACGCTTCTGAGGAAAGGCTGCTTTCGATCGAGATGTCCTGCAGTTGACACGTGACTGCGCGGCAATCGGACAACTCTTTGAAGCAGATCAACGCTCCGAGAACCTTGTCTGAAAAAGTATCGTCGATGTATCATTGTCGTTTTGTTTTTAAGTGGGAATGAATGAAATTTCAGCTTTAAGATGCTGGGATGAGTCTTCAATCACCCAAGTACAACCAAACACTAGATAGAGTATTTTAAATATATTTGGCATGAAAGGAGGAGCAAAAGAGCAGCTCGTCTCTTGCATCTCAAGAACCAGAATGTCATCGGCGCCAGCGTTGTGAAGAGTTTTATGGACTCCGTTGTGTGCTTCAAGAGCGGGGTGCCCTGGGAAGACCCTGATGTTACCATGGCCGTGGAGAAGGACTAGTGACTAGCGGTCAGTCAGTTCTCTGGTTTTAAACCGTTCATCGTGTGACTATTCGGAGTAGTAGATTATTGTGTAATAAATTCCTGTGTGTGGCGTGACAATCCTTACCCTGAGTTCATCACCGATGTGAGCGCGGACTCTGGTGGGTTGGTCATCTGGCAAGATATGACGAAGATGGGCAAAGTGTCCAGCAAGGAGATGAGTGCAATGGTTGACACGATTGCAGCTCTGGTACGGAAAAAGCCAGCTTCGACGATTGGGTTTATCACAAGTCCTGTCTTGATCAGCGAAAAGTTGGCCAACAACACACGGGACATGATGAGGAGGTTCGAGGACAAGTGTGACGCCAAGGGATTGGCCAACCATTTGGTGATACTTCGAATGGAGATGCCCCATTCATCAAAGAAGGTGCCCATCATCTTTCACTCATGGCTCGTCTTAGATGAGTCCACTGCATCAGAAAATATCTTTTCTGGCTGCCAGTTATTTCTGGACAGGTGGGAGTTTTCTCTATTTCTGTATGTTTCTGTATGGGGGCCCTTTGGTGAAGCAACGTTTCCGGGAAGTATTGTCTGAAAACCAAAGCACTTCAGGGCTGCCTGTTCCTCAGACGGGTTTGTATGCACTGCAACCCTCGAGGTCACCAAGAAAGATGATCCCCTTCCAGCCCGAGACCGCGTACATTGTTCCTTCAGCAGAGCGGGACGCATTGCCTCACGCGAGCGAAGGATTCAGGCAAGGCCTCAAACCTCCCCGCTTGTAGTACAAAAGCTTGAGTGCCTTTCCAAAGTTAAAGAAACATGAACAAATCTACTACTCAAGTGCAACTCCAGCTCTTGGCTGTTCAAGTGCTTCTCAAATAGGTTGCTAGATTCCAAGTCCAATGCTGCCCCTTCTTCCTACAAGGAGCTTGAGTGAGTACCAGGAGACGGCCCAATATCTGTCTGGGCCAAGCTTCCCAGAGGCGATCCTTCAATCTATCACCAGCAAGGCAAAGCTACCGTCAAAAGTGTTGGGGGTGATCAATTGCACTCCTTATGACGCTTGTCTTGAGCGGGCTTGCATGCAGCACCTCAGCAGCCCTTAGTACTGTTGGGCTGTGGGTCTTTGAAGTGGGTCGTTGAATTGGGGGGCTAACTAGTGCACGCCAAAAAAACATAAGATATCATAAGATGATCAGTCCGGAAGAATTTCACAACCCAGGCAAGCTAGCACGTTGCCTGGGCACCAGATCAAATCCATCAGTTTTTCCAAGCAAATCACTGTGGTGGACTATTGCGAAAAGACTCTGGCAATGGAGCTGATCCAGGCTGGTGGAATAAGAAAAACCGCTGATTGAACAAGAGTTGATGACAATTGTTTGGAAATCAAAGGTTGCTCATGTGTGGTAGACACCCTGCTAGGCATGGAAGAGTGGAACGCATTGCATGGGCAACGTCAGGCCCTATGACCCGACTCCAACAGACCCGCCAAATGATGTGAAGATTTCTGCTTTTGGCTTCAAGCTTGTGCAAGTGGAGCTCGTAGATGCCAAGAAGAAGGAGTTCAGCCAGAAATACAAGATCACAGTGCCAGCTGCTCTCAGAGCCCGCTACTCTGACGATGTGGTGTTCAGAGGAGACTGGGCTTCCCTTTTGAACGACTTCGACAAGAAGTTCTTTGGTTTTTGGAAACTGAGGTTGTCCTACTGATATTTTCTTGGAATGCCCGCCCAACAAACATGGTTACCCCTGTGCTTTTGCCCGATGTTGCCCCCAGCCTCAGGTTCACTGCCAACTACAAAGGAGATGCAGCACCTGAGCCGGAGGATCTTGACAACCAGAAGGTTGGTCCTGAGCTTCCCCCATGGACCGGGGAGCCAACAAGCATTGAGGGTGTCATGGATCGCTACCACATCGAGGCCAAAGTATCAGGTCGTGTCGCTGGTAGCACCCTGATCCTTGTCAACAGCAAGGATAGATCAGGAAAGCTGGAGACTTGTCACAGTTGCGTTATTTTGTTTTTTGGGATCTGCCGGTGGAGCATTGACATTTTCTTCAATCCCGTCCTAAGCCCCTAACCCCTGAGTCAACAAAGGACCAAGTTGAGGAACGGCAACAATACAAACTGTTCCTTGCTTCTTGGCATAATCAAGCATTGTCCTATTTCCAAATCAGCCAAACAGAACAGGGCTTAGGCCAAAACATGGGTACAAAGACTTGGAACTTGGAACAAATTGATGATGCAAACTTGTCCAAAGGCTTCCAATCAAAATTGAACAAGTGCTGTTCCTGTCAAATGCAAAACTTGACCTGAGGCCGCCCACATGGATATCGAAATTGGTGTCACCGATTTCATTCTGGCGCATGGGTCCTCACGATTTGTCCGAATGGAGAAAGTGCAGGACATGAAGCGCAAAAGCCGACAAGGAGTCTAGTAGTTTCTGCACGTTCAACCTGTTTGGAGTGTACCCTGTTATGCTCTGTTATGAACACATTTGCTGATCATAGCATCAACATACTGCAACTTTGACCCATGCCGCTGCTCAAGTCCAGGCTAGGAGAACTGGTTAACATAAGGTCTGAGTTGCATCGCTGCTTGGACCCTGTTGTCCACTGATCTCGCTGGTGAACCATGGTCAATTTGGAAGAGCTCTTAGCCAGGCATGGTTTTGACAAGGACTGACAGTTGAATGTAGTGGACTTGAATGGGTAGTTGAATGTAGTTGACTGCTTGGTAGGGTCTATACTGCAGTCAGGACTTTGATGCACTGGCGCAAAGGGATTCTTCGTTCACCGAAACTCCGCCATGCAAAGCTGCCAAGGGCTTAGAAATCTCTACCCAGCATACTTGCTTCTTATCAGCTGATTGTCACACCCCAGGCCCGATCTCCCGTAACATCTGGATCTGGAGACAAGGACCCGTGTTTTATTCTTCAATACTGCTTTGTGCCTTCAAGATGCTCGGAAGGACTCGCCGCCAGCTACGTCGGAAGCCTCGGCATCAAGACCGAAGATGCCAGTGCAGACTTCGGAATCAAATGAGAAGAACAATCCGCCTCTTTCTGCTGAAAGAATTGCAGCCCTAAAGAAGATAGTGGATGATGCAAAAACCAAGAAGAAGCAAGCCCAGAAAGAGGAGGAGAGCCAGGATAACGACAAGGACGCGCCAAAAGAGGAGAAGAGCAAAGATGAAGTCAAGGACAGCCAGCCCAACAAGCAGGAGGCAAAAGAAAAGAAGCAACAGAAGGGCAAGGAGGAAGATGATGAGAAGGAGACGAAGTCCCGTGT